CGGTGCGCGTTCCGCCTGCGACGCAGATGCTTGTCCCGTTAAGATTGAAAAAAGGGCTTTCAGTAGGTAACTTGGGGGAAGGCATTCTGTTGTCGCCCTCAAATGCCGTGACACGAATGCCCTCTTTGATGGGTGCTTTTACGATGGTGCCAGCGACGGCCGAACCGTTCATTCAGATTGTGAACATGGGGCACGAGCCGGTTGTTATTCAGGAAGGGACTACATTGGCGCACATGTCAGTCACGCGAGGTTCGGAAGGTGATGCGTGTTTGGCAGCTGGGGGTTGTGATATGCTGCCACGGGCGGAGGAAGAACCGAGCTGGTTTCGCAAGTTGTATGAAGGCAACGACGATTTGACACCCGAGCAGCGGACGCAATTAAGGAAGTTGCTTTGGGAATTCAAGGATGTTTTTAGCTCAGGGAAGTTTGATGTCGGTCGCACGACCTTATTGCGGCATCACATTGATACTAGAGATTCGCCCCCTATTCGACTGAATCCTCACCGTGTGAGCCCGCTGGAGAAGGATTGCATTCGGAAATCGGTTGATGAGATGTTACAACAGCATATCGTCTCCCCTTCTTCCAGCCAATGGGGAGCCCCGATTGTGTTGGTTAAAAAAACAAGATGGTTCTCTGCGATTTTGTGTGGATTACCGCAAATTGAATAAGGTTTCGGTGGCGGATGCATACCCGCTCCCGTGCATTGATGACTCATTGGACGCATTGTCCGGTGCAAAATTTTTTTCCACGTTGGACCTCTTGTCGGGCTTTTGGCAATTGCCTTTGGACGAGGAATCTAAAGCAAAGACGGCCTTTCGCACGCCGCAAGGGCTGTTTCAATTTAATGTACTACCGATGGGGCTGCACTCTGCACCAGCCACTTTCAAAGATTGATGGAACTTGTGTTGTCTGGATTGCAGTGGGAGTCGTGTTAAATATACCTTGACGACGTCATTGTGTTCAGTAAGGATTTTGAAGGACATTTGCAGCTACTACGGGCTGTGTTTGGCAGGGTACGTGACGCCAATTTGAAATTTAAACCCCAGAAATGTCATCTGTTGAGAAAGTCAGTTAAGTATCTGGGGCATGTGGTCAGCGAAGCGGGGGTCGCCACAGACCCGGAGAAAACTAGTTGTGTTCGTACGTGGCGAGTGCCTAAAACAGTGTTGGAAGTATGTAGCTTCATGGGATTCGCGTCATATTACCGTCGATTTGATAAAAAACTTTGCCACAATTGCGAGGCCGCTGCACACGTTGACTGCTAAGGGTAAGAAGTTTCTGTGGGGTGACGAGGAACAGCGTTTGTTTGAAACGCTCCGGGACGCTTTGGCAGACGCACCGCCGCACGGGTATCCAAATTTTGCGGAAATGTTTATTTTGGACACCGATGCCAGTGATACGGGCATCGGCGCTGTATTGTCGCAAACGATTCATGGAGTTGAGAGGGTCGTCGCGTATGGCAGCCGGGTACTGTCCCCGGCGGAGCAAAGATATTGTGTAACACGCAGGGAATTGTTGGCGATTGTACACTTTGTGCAGCTGTATCGACCATGCTTATACGGCCGACAATTTTTGGTCCGCACCGACCACGCGGCACTGCAGTACTCCTTGCGGATCGATCAACCCTCGGGCCAAATGGCCCGCTGGCTTGAGGTCCTGCAGGGATACTCGTTCACGGTCCAGCACAGAAAAGGTACGCGTCACGTTAACGCGGATGCTCTGTCCCGATTGCCTCAGGCATCGGGCTTGTGTAGATGCTCTGAGGGATCGCTGCGCTGTGGGCCGCCGCTGCAGAGCATTCCGGGCATGGCCGCTGCAGCTAATGCAACCCAGCTTGACGAAGCACCGGCTAAAGAGCCTGGCTTGCTGGGATTGGCACGGGATCGTTGGGTGCGCTTGCAAGTAGACGATCCCTCGCTTACCAGAATGAGGCTACGGGCCTCTCGTTCCAAACAGTCGGATGATCGGGCCTTTCTTCGACTCATTGACGACCTCCTGGTCAGATGGGATGTCGTCTTGCAGAAGTTCTGTATTGTCGTACCACTGTGTTTGAGAGGGGAACTTATTCGCGACACGCACGAGCGATTGATGCATCTGGGGGAAAAGAAAACGGCTTTGACTTTAAGTAACGATTTCTATTGGCCAGGATTACAGAATGATGTTGATTTGTATGTTAAAGCTTGTCACGAGTGTGCACGGCGAAAGGCACCGGCACAGCCATATCGGGTACCATTACAGTCAATTCGTGTTTCACGAGTCAACTAAATTGTGGCCCTTGATATTCTGGGACCGTTCCCCGTTACACCGCGGGGTCACAAATACCTGCTTGTGGGGGTCGAGTATCTCACTCGGTGGCCTATGGCATGGCCGCTGGCGGACCAATCGGCAGGATCAATCGTAGAGGCCTTCCTGCAGGGTTACGTTTTTGATAAAGGTGCCCCGGAGCACCTGCTTACGGACCAGGGTAAAAAATTTTCGTCCCGCCTATTGAAAGAAGTGTGTGACGCATTGGGTACAAGGAAAATTCGGACATCCCCATACCACCCGCAAACCGACGGGATGGTCGAACGTCTTCATCGAACATTGACATCTATGTTGTGCCAACAGGTTAATTCGGCCCAGACAGATTGGGATTTACATGTCCCGCGGCTTTGGCCGCTTATAGATTAGCCCCACACGCTTCTACAGGGTATTCGCCTTTCTATTGGATGTATGGTCGTGAACCAGAAGTCCCGGCCCTCGTCAGGCTGGGTGTGAAATCTAAAAATAAGTCGCAAGCAATGCCTGTCCCCATGCGGGAGGCCTTGGAGCGGTTGACAGAGGCCAGGGAGGCCTCGCTGGGGAATACGGAACGAAGGCAGGCTGCTAATGAGCGCCTGCACGGTACACAGGCTCCACGTGAACCATGGCTAGTGGGGGACAGGGCCTGGTTACATTGTCCGATGGTGCCCATAGGCACATCACCGAAATTCCATCGGCCCTGGCAGGGGCCCGTTGAGATTGTGGAAGTTCGCCAGGATCACAGTGTAAGGATTCGATACGGTCGGCGGTTGTGGCACATTCACCCGTCGCGGTTGAAGAGATATGTGGTGCCTTATGATGCGTCATCTCCCATCCCGGAACGGCCTGTATTGGATGTGTCCGACGAGCGTGCTGGGGGGTGGCGGAAGGACGCACCTCAGCAGTCTACCCCCCGTGTGTCTGCAGGACCCCCATTTTTGAGGCAGGGGACACCCCGGGACGCACGAGGCCACGTTGGGATCTCATCGAGGAATGGACAGTGGGACGGAGATGGACGCACTGTTCGGGCAGAACGCTGCCCCGCGCCCACGGACAGAGATACCCTGGCCCCTGTTCAGTCGAGTCGGGGCGACGGACCGGCCGCGGGAACCCGCTCGAGGAGATTGACTTTTTCTTGAAACTTTGGGGACTCGGGGGGATTATGTACATTTGCTGTTTGTTGAGGTTTTCTTGTATGTTGTCGTTTCCACGTGGTGCTTTGTGCTTAGCTGGGACGGCTAACTTTTTCAAGCAAGGGTACAGTAGGGGGTATTTGAGGACGAGGTTGTTGTTGCGGAAGCGTGAGAGGAGACGCGTTAAGTGGCGAAACAGGTGGTAAGGGCAACCGGGGATACGGGCCGGTGATTGGTTTAGAGGTGATTGCTTAACGACTGGCGTCGCCCAGTCGGGGACAACAAAGTCACGTGAGGCTGGGGGCCTGGGGGGCGAGGGGTAATGGAGGGGTGAGATAATTAATAGGGACTTATTGGGGTGGATATTAAAGGATAGCGTAACGGAGAGAGAGGGAGTCTTGGTCAGAGTCTTGGGGAAGCTGGAGTCTTGTTAGAGCTGGAGTCTGGAGAGGAGTTGGAGTGACGGTGCCCGGAATAGCGGAGAGCAGGAGGAAGAGAATACGATAACGGTAGCAGTGGAAAGAGAGAGATAGGTCAAGTACGGTAGCAGCGGATAGAGGAGACAGAGTGAGTGGTAGCAGTGGTAGCAGTGGTAGCAGTGGTAGCAGTGCATCAGAGAAGATACGGAGCAGGGTAACAGCGGAGCGACGGACCCTGGGAGAGCTGGAGAGAGCACGGAGGGACATAGAGCGCGTTGATGGCGGATGGCGTGGCGGAGCGAACGGGTGGCCATGGAGCGGTGATGAGGAGAAGGTGTGGACCTTAAGGAGCAAATATAGTACGAGTCCTACATATTTACGCGATCTAGCCCAAAACACCTATTATGAATGATATTTGTCGCGAAAGCATATAACGTGTTAAACTGTATAGGGCTCTATGGCCACACATGCCAAAACGTCACATCCCATTCAAACGGATTCATTATTCTTCCATCATGACGAGTCGTAACTCACACACGCGCACACGCTCTGCCTGTCCTCGCGTGGCTTGCTCGCGAGAAGGAATATGAATGCTATGTCCTTTTGTACAACACCTCTCGGGTGACATTTCCCCGAGTGTGCCACATCTCGACCCCGAGGGAGTGCTTGGATAGGTGTGGGGGTCGGGAGGCAGCCATCGTACGTAACGGGATGTTATAGGCTGTGGGGAGGAGGGGAAGTTATTGCTCGCAAGAGTGAAATATACCAAACGTCCAGAGGCAGTCTCAAGCAGGATTAAGGCCACGGCTCCAGCACGAGTAATATGGATTTCAAAAGTCGGGGAGAAGGCACTTGAATAACACTATGTAACAATTTTTTTTTGTTCCTGGGTAGTAAGTGTTTTTTCCTAGTAACACTTACTACCTAGGAAAATGGCTATAATTCCCCATAAACTTTGCTTTTGTGACCAGGACAGTGATATTTTGAAATTGACCTATTTTCCAGAACATTCCAAATACATGCAGTGCTGAGTAAACTTGTAATAACTTCTAGAACATTCTAGAACTTTCCAGTAATATAAATAGTAGTATAAATACAGGGGCCTTAAGCCCACCAGTTCAGTTTAGTACCAGCTATCTAAGTGGATACATTTCTGCATTTTCTGAGATGGCATCAATAGGCTGCAAGCATCCGGTAGACGCATTTTGCTATGTCTGCAGCCAATTTATCAAGACAAGAGCGAAAAAGTACTCTGTAGAAGCATCTGCTAAGTTGTGTGAGGCCTACAAGGCATATTTTGGCATGCTTGTCGGATATCAAGACAACCCCTGGGCACCTCATTTCACCTGCGAGCAATGCAAAAAACTCTGGAAGGTAAGATGGACAATTGTTGCTCGGAATTTTATGTTATAAAATGAGTTAAAAACATTGAAATTGTAAAAGTTTTTCATTTTAAAATGTTTTACAATTTTCAATGTTATAGAAAAAATATATCATGCATGAAAATGTTGCGAGAATCTCTTACACATTAGTCATGGGTGAAACGAATGTATTTTTGTAGGATGGTACAGAGGGGGAAAGAGAGCCATGAAGTTCTCTATCCAAAGAATTTGGCGGGAACCCACTGACCACTCAAGCAACTGCTACTTCTGCATGGTGGACCCTTACAAACGTTGGACTGGCAAGAATTCACCTGCTATCACGTTGCTGGACCTTCCTTCATACATCGCCCTGGTGCCACACTGCCATGAGCTCGAGGTACCCACTCCTCCGGAGAGAAAGTAGCCGTCTTTAGAAGAGAGCAGCAAGTCAGAGAGCGAGGAAGACGTTGTAGATCCAGATGACAATTTCAGAGGTGGAGCTGAGGAGAGAAACCTATACTACCCTGACCAAAAAGACCTCAACGACTTGATCAGAGATCTTGGTCTCACCAAGTCCAATGCCGAGCTTTTGACGTCTAGGCTCAAGCAGTGAAATTTTTTGGATGAAAGTGTGCAAGTCGCAGATCAGATGAAGCGTCACCAACCTTTTTGCAGCTTCTTCACTGGTCAAGATGGGCTCTGCTTCTGCCACAATGTAACCAGTCTGTTCAAGGTAATCGGCATCGCCTGTAACCAGAATGAGTGGCGCCTTTTCATTGACAGCTCATCCAGGAGCCTCAAAGCCGTGTTGCTCCATAATGGTAACAAGTACCCGTCTTCCCCTGGCTCACTCAGTGCACCTCAAAGAGGATTACAACAGCATCAAGACCTTGCTGGACGCCTTGAAGTATGATGAGTACGGCTGGGAGGTCATCAGAGACTTCAAAATGTTGGCATTCCTGATGGGTCTCCAAGGCGGTTTTACCAAGTTTATCTGCTATCTTTGCCTTTGGGACAGCAGGGACACCAAGGCGCACTACCACAGGCGGGACTGGCCAGAGCGGACTGAGTTATCTGTGGGGAGGAACAACATCAAGTGGGAGCAACTGGTGAACCCCCAGAAGGTGCTGATGCCACCACTGCACGTCAAATTGGGCCTCATGAAACAATTTGTCAGAGCTGTAGATAAGGAGTCAGTAGCCTTCAAGTACCTTCAAGACTTCTTCCCTACGCTGTCTGAGGTAAAGGTCAAAGCCGGTATCTTCGTCAGACCACAGATAAAGATGATCCTAGAGTGCAATGAATTCCACAAGAAGCTCACTAGTAAGGAGAAAGTGGCTTGGAACAGCTTTGTCGCAGTGGTTCGTGGCTTCCTGGGCAATCACATGGTCGAAAACTATGTGGAGCTGGTTGAGACTTCGGTGAAGAACTATGGCACAATGGGTTGTACGATGTCCCTCAAAGTCCATATCCTTGATGCTCATCTTGATACATTCAAGGAGAACATGGGAGCGTACTCGAAAGAGCAAGGCGAGCGCTTCCACCAGGATATACTGGACTTTGAACACCGCTACCAAGGACAGTATCACGAGAACATGTTGGGAGACTACATTTGGGGGCTGATTCGTGAAAGTGATTTACAGTATAATCGTAATTCTCGAAAAACTACTCACTTCTAAATCTTTTGTAGTCATTTTTGTATTACTTTAGTATAAATACATGTTAATTTTGATTCATATGTTTTTTTTTCTTCTTCTGAATTTACGTGAACGAAAAGACACAAATTTGGCCGTTTTCTCATTGAAAATATGTAAATTTCAAAACATCACTGTTTTGGTCACAAAACAAAGTTTGTGGGGAATAATAGCCATTATCTATACTTTTTAAGCATAATCAATTACGAAGTAACACTTACTACCCAGGAACAAAAATTGTGTTACATAGTGTAATAATTCATCTGCATTCCTACGTCATTGAATGTGAATGAGCAATATTGTGTTTAAATGAATGAGTAATAACAATTAATAATTTATATATTTTTTGTAAGGCGCCTTCCACTAACGTCTCAAGTGTGACTGAGTGTGATATATTAGCCATGCGCATAGAACTTGCACTTTCAGGTATCAATAACTCGACAAAAGGGGTTTAATACCAGATGTATAAACGCTCGTTAGATGGCTGAAAACATCTGCATATATACACACACCTCGATGTGTTATGCGTGTTCCAGCGGTGTGAGATGCAGTTTGCAAAAATGACGCTGTTGAATAAAAACACAAATTTATATTAGCAGTAATTATACCAGAATTAGAGTTAACCAAAGCATGGGTTGAATGCCAGACTTCCCCCCTCGCCAATGTATGCAGTTACACAGCTGATGAGAGTCTTTCACAAAATACCATTATTGTCTACGTGAACTTCTCTTCTCGCATGTGACATTTGTGTTCATGAGTTAAATGCCAAAGTTGAGGTTGTGCGAGCCATGACAGGGCTTCAGGAGAGAGTTGCTATAGTTTTGATATTCCTCCGTTGAAGGAGCGTCGACCACAGTGGGTTCATCTTCTTGGTTCTTTCGGTAAAGTCACGTAGAAGGGAAATAATAAAATAATAAAAATAAAACTTAATAAAATAATTCTCACTACGTGACTTTACCGAAAGAACCAAGAAGATGAATCCCTGCAGTCACGAAAGCTTTAAATCACAGTATGTTTACTACACTGTCCATAGTTTGGGTTCTTTGGCCACAGTCGCACTACTGTGGCTTGTATTTAATTTCCCATTCATGAGGGAGATGTGCGAATCGGCCTGTTGATGTTCCGATACGATTGATGGTTACACCTCCAGCGTCTTTGAGGAATGTCAAAGTCAGGAGGAGGTGCGATGTCTGGGTCTCGAATTTTGTGTTCATTCTGGACGTCTACATTATTCCACTCTGTTTGTCAGCATTCTTCTGCGTCTGGGTGAGATTGTAGGATGATGAGAGCGCGATCTCAGAAGGAGGATCGCGTCTTGAATCTCTGTATAAACTCTCACGTGGATATGAAAGTAACGTGTTGATTTACGCGTATGAGATTGCTTAAATCATAATTGTATTCACATTCATTGTTTTGGCCTTTTGTATCTTAATTAAATAGTTTTTTTGTAAGAGAGAGAAATAGAGAGATTGATTCGGCATTGAACGGACAATTTGAAGTCAATAATAATTATTGTTATAGTCGTGATCATTTTATTCCACGCGGGCAATATTTGTAAAGCTGTGAGAAAAAAACACGAGCAATTTATGTCATAGCGACTTCTATAGTGACTGCAATAGGCCTGTCTTACCCAATAGCACTTTTCTTTGTAAGGAGCTTCTCGTTGAATAGCTAAGCAATCAAACAAATGTTTCTCAATCAGAGTTGTACAATGACAGGTATGTTTGGTGTCTTCATTGCAGACTGTGTTGAGACCATTGACCAACTCACTTACTACCCTTAATATATGTTAACCATGGGTTGCTAAAACCCAGAGTTAAACCCAGTTATCAGCAGTTGCCGGTTTAGTACTCTGTATTGACCTATTGATTTAAGGTAAATAAGTTCAATAGAGAGAGAGCACTGAGGAATACATGTCATGTGAATTATAGAGAAAATTGTAATAACATGTGTACTTTATTTTTTAAAGCACATTAACGAACGCTACCATAAAACAAAGATACCACATTGAAACTTACAACCAAATCACCTGGAGATAGTGAGGTGTCCTTAATTGAATATATCAAGTGAGCTGAGTTAAGTACAGCTGAGGTGGTCTTACCAGTGAATGGTTGCAAGGTATCAGACATAAATCGGGCCAGTTTGTACTGTAGGTGGGTGAGCAAATGGTGGAGACAATAGGACGGAGTGGTGTACCTTCTTTATGGATTTTTGGTAAGTCATAAAATCTGGGTGGTCTAGCAGTAGAGGGTTTTAAGGAAAGCCACTTGGCTGGTTCGATTAAGGATGTCATCTGGCCACATGGCATACCAGCTCTGGACCAATTCTTCAACCACATCAATTCCATACACCCAGCCATCAAATTCACCATGGAGGTGGAAAAGGATGGCAAGTTACCATTATTGGATGTTTTAATCGAAAAAACACCTGATGGCTCAATGGGACACTGTCTACAAGAAAGCCACCCATACGGATGCCTATCTAAAACCTGACTCCCACCACCATCCATCCCAGAGAAATTCCCTCATCAAATCTCTATACCATAGAGCTCGTTGTATTTCCGACCATCACCACCTAGCCAGTGAACTGGATCACGTACACCAAACCCTCAAGAAGAATGGATATTCAGACTACACAATCCGTAAAGCTATCACCCCAAACGTTGGGAAAGAACCATCGGAGGACCCAATCAAAACCATCACCTTGCCATACATAGCAGGGGTCACCAAAATACTTCCAAAATCATGAGCAAACACAAGATCCAGGTACGATTCAACACAGTACGTAAAATTCGTGATTTCATCCCGTCTGTAAAGGATGTGATCCCTGACATGCAATACTCTGGTGTCTACAAACTAAGCTGTGTCTGTGGCAGCTGTTACATTGGGGAAACTTAACGACATGTCTTGGACCAGATTCGTGAACAAAAGGCAGATCTGAAACACGGTAGGACCAATACCTCAGCCGTGGCTGATCATTGTTTTAACGCTGCGGGCACACACGAAATTGATTTTGCCAAGACGAGGGTACTCTGCAAGCCCACTGGCTATCAGCAAAAATTCGTTCATGAAGCCATCTAGATATATATGACACAGACACAATTTCAACCGTCAAGATGGGTACAAACTTAGCAATCATTGGAAGGACATTATTAACCAGTTTAGGTCATAACTGGCTGTGATGTTCCCTCCCTATCTACCCATGTTACGAGTTATTTTCTACTCTCTGAGTTACTTTCACTAATACAGCCACCTTTAGCTGTATTAGTAAATGGCGGCTTGCCATCCTTTTCCACCTCCATGTGGCGATGGCTCTTTCCGAGCTCTCTCTGAGCTTACATTTACAAGCACATTTCTCATATTGATATGCTAATATCTCACAATACAATGGCCACCCCCACAGCTTCGTTTGCCAACATTTCTCTGATCTTACATTTACATGCAAATTTCATCTCGAGCCCCGCCCACTGACCCTTGGGCTCCACCCATCTCAAACCTTTATAACTCTCTGCCTGAGCAGCTCTCCCACCATATAGTCTCAGCAGATCTCCCGCTATATTTTTCACCTGATGACGATTGCTTGTGTTGCGATCGAAACGTCGTGATATTGTTATTATTTTTAATTATTATTATTTCTTCTATCTACATGGCTTATCCAAAAGACCCACATAATTTGTGTGAGAATATATCACAGCCTAAAGGGGTTTTAAGGTGTGTTAACTAGTAGCCAGTTAACTTTCAAACTTAGGTTTGTAACCAATACAATCACCCATAAGTAGAAAGTTCTACATGAATTTGAGTGTTTGGACGAGTTCTGTACTATTTAATAGTCAAACCGATCACCTTCCCGATGTAGGTGTAGAGCAACAACTATAAGTTCACATTCAGGTGGTCAAGCCAGATAACCGCGTCAGGAGCAGCGGAGTTTATCGCCGTGACGTCGCCTTCGTATTTGTGGATTGGGCATTGCATCGTTACATGTTGTATGGTCTGTTTTGGATGACCACAATTACACACTACTGGAGATTTCATAATTTTTCATTTGTGCACCAGGTATCCGCATTTGTCACGGTTTATGCGGATGGGATTTAGAGCCGGCCATGAGCTTCGTGGAAGATCAAACCCAGGGATCTTTTGCGTTGGGTCTTTCACAAGGTGTTCGTGAGTTATTCTTAACTAAATTCAGCTCTGCAGGCTTCATCTGAGTTTAATTCGCATTGTTTCAAGCTAAGCGCATGGGTCCAAAAAGAGATTGGCATGACTTTAAGCGATGACGAGGGACGCTACTGAGGTCCTGATGAATGGGAAGGCGACTGCTTTCCTCGATTCGCAGGAACTTCCCGGAGGGTTGCAGCATCACGGTGGATGGGTAGGGGAGAGATTTGTGACGGCATGGGCAGCCAAGATGTTGGGGTCCACTTGAGGGTTCCAGTGATACACCGCATCGCAGTGTTCAGTTGGACATCAACAAGTCGAGTGGTGACAACTCTGGTCCATACTGATGCACAGTACTCGGCTACAAAGTACACAAGGGCCATCGTTGATGTCTGTAGCACTGGTGCTGATGCCCCCCAGCTTGTGCTCAACCTGATACAGAAACTGGCGACCCCTTGTTTTGGTCGTGGCGGCTGCCTTTTTGAGGTAGTCATGGAAGATTTAGCCTCGGGTGCAGCTTCACTCCGGGATAGGTTGTAGTGGTGTCGTGTCGCAACAGTGTTGCCACGGAAGGTCACGTTCAGAGTGTGCTTGGCTCTCCTATTATCAAGATGAAATGCAGTGACTTTTGTTTTTTCGTGGGGTTATGGCTTGAGCTTCCATTTCTGGAAATATTCCCCCCATGGTGTTTTGGACTTTGTTCAGAGTGGATTCGATGTCATTGAAAGCGGCTGCTTGCGTTGCCAGGGCAAAGTCATCCGCACACGCAAATATGCGTGACCCGGTCGGTGGCATGTCACTGGTGTAGACATTGAAGAGCGTTGGCGCGAGTACTGAACCTTGGTGGCAATCCATTGTAGAGGAACTGGTGTGAGCTGGCTTTGTCGCCCATGAAGACAACGCAGTCGCCTATTGCTCAGCATCGTCCATATCAGGCGTATCGTTTAGAGGCGAGGAATGTTCCCTTGCGAGGTTTAACATCACACAAAGGCTGCGCCGGTCGGTGCGTATCACTGGCATTATACCTTTGCAGCCTTTGCACGTAGGTACACAATGCCACTCAGATAGCGATACTCTTAAGGAAGTCCATTTGCAAATTCCTTATCGAAAACATTCTGTATGACAAATAATTCTGTTGTTTACCACACCATGACCAATGCAAATTTTTTGGAATAGTCGACCTAGGAGAGACCACGGCCATGGTCAGAAATTAATTTCCACTGAAGTGTTGCACCTTCGTCAGGAATCAAACCCGGGTATCTGGCACACCAGGATATACAGTGGGCAAAACACACGACTACCTACAAAAGTACAAACACATTGATCCCTTTATGCAGAGTGCATGAGGAGGTTGGTTGTAGCCAGGTCCATGTCTGACCACCTTTGTCTCCCCAATGATGTCAACGTTTGCACACTGCACCAGATATTCATTTATGATTGAGTCAATCTAGGGGAGGTACAGTTCGGATATTAGTTCGGATATTAGTCACCGTTGATGTTATCCTTGGTTGGGAATCAAACCAATATTGGTAAGTCCGCAGCGCAGTAATACGCGTTACTGCTGCTCGTGTTATTTCTATCCACACATATCTTGTATCCCATCACCAATGTCAATGTATGTTCTCGATGATGGGTTACTGATATCATCAATCATGTGATGTGTGATTTCTCTGAAGAATACATTGAAAACTATTTTCGTGTATAGCATCACACACCAAGCATGCCCCAAAAATAGGAATCATGAGCTGCATGAAATATGTCGAATGCCCATAGGCAGTCTCAAGCTAGATAAGACCACAGCTCCAGCACGAGTTACATGGATTTCAATAGTCAGATTTC